ATTATTATTATTATTATTGTTGTCATTATTATTATTATTATTATTATTATTATTATTATTAGTGTGACACCTCGTCAGCTTCTTGGTTGCTAATTCGAAGTTTAATTCGCAGTAACAAAAAAAAAAAAAAGCGTCATGAAAATTAAAGACAGAGACGTGTCCAAAAGGCGCACAGTCAAAGCCCTTCTTTTTTTACATTTCAGTCACAACCGGCACCATCAAAAACCACTTTGTGTCATCGCTCGAGAGTCTGGCTGCACAGAAATCCAAAATATTTGCGTTGGCTCTCGATCACGCCTATTAAAATAATTTGTCGACGTGTCAGATTCTTGGATATACAGTCACCATCGGCCCGTGCGCCGGGAAGGCTCGGTAAGTGACATTAACGCCCAGCACTCCTGCAGAGCACCGAGGGAGGAACAGAAGGAAATGCCCTTCAGAGACGTGTTCCTCTACAGTCCTGCTGACTTTCTTTTCCTTCAAACTAAATGCCGAGTTTCTGCCAAGGACAATATTAACTGCAGATTCGGTTGGAGGAACGCTTCGCCAGGCGGACGATAACTTATTGAAATCTGTTTCTCATTCATATTTCATAGCCACAGGAAATGGGTTTTGATTTGCATTCATATTTTCTGATCTCGACAAAGTGGAGATTTTTATCTGTGCATTTTATTTTGTTGCAACGTGCTGCTTTGAATATAGTTTCTCTCCCCCCCCCTCCTCCTTTTATAGTCTCCACCGTGGTGCAGAACCGTTTTCGATCCCTGTTTCCTGTAACGCAGCTGATTTATTCTTTTTTTTTTCTTCCCCACAGATTTGGAACAACTTGGTGGAGAAAAAGAGGAAAACCTGAATCGGTGCCTGAATGGTGGAGTCCTGATCTGAACCTTGTTCTTCCAACCCCCCCTCCTGGCAGTCGTGAGCCTTGTTGGCGTTTTCTCGAACTAGAACTGAAAAAGGAGGTTCACACTTATTTAAACACCGGCGTAAACATATTGAAGGGTTATTAACGTCTTGAGGAAGTGTATGACCGAGCGTTTTCTCTGATACTTCTGTGTGACATGGCGAAGAAGAACAGCCAAAAGGGTACGTGTTTGCTTCAATGGCTCTTTAAAGGAGTATCAATTAACTAATGTTGTATATTTTTTTTTTTTGCAGCTGAAGGAAGGAAGGAAGGTTTACGTTGGATCATAGTTGGAAGTTATTTAACAAATTGTGCATAATTGTTTTCACATGGAGTCTGATGGAGCAGCCCTAAAAACACCGAGTGTTGTGTAACAGATACTTTAATTGTGGAGTTGAATAGTAAACGGAGAAGAAAAGAGAAATGCTGTCGACGTTTACGGTGACATTAACCTACCTTCCTGCTGGTGGAAAAACAACTTTTACAAGGGCCCCGTCTTTCTGTTTCGTCTTTAAATGGACGTACATTAACTTTGTACTTTACCCCGACTCTTCACACTCAGCTGGAGGCTTTTGTTTGTCTTTTAAAATTAAAATTATCTCTTTTTGTTTTAGTAAATCTTAACGCAGCTGTTTCCTGATTCTGAGTCAGACAGAAACCGTGAACTTGTTCCTCTTGCAAGAATATCTTTTCAGACAAAACAATAGGTTTTTTTTTTAGCGATTTTAATACTAACAATGCCTGCAGTAATCTCACAGGTTGAAAATATGTTCATAGTCGAGATAAACGTTGTTCGAGCGCAGATCTGCCCTCGATTCATAAATGTAATCGACTACTCTTTCCAGGATATCACTGAAGAAATCTCTCGGCTGGTTTGTTTTGCAAATGACGTTCTACAGCGGTTTGCAAATACGGTTCGAGGCATGAACAAACAATGGAGTTTGGTGTTTTTATATGTTTGGGTTTTTTTTACAGATACGTCTGGGGTGGTGTTTGACACTCGCTCAAAAATGGTCATGTCCCAGGGAGGAACAGCTGAGAGGATGAAGGAGAAGGTACACACACACACTGGCGCACACACACACACACACACACACACACACACTGGCACAGAGAGGCTGCAGGTTTTTACTGGAGGGTTAAATTTAAAACGTAAAATCACAACCTGTGCGTAGCGTCGAGAGCTTCTAATCTGCTCCCGACGTTAAACACTTTCTCTTTGTTTGGTCGATTTACTCCCGAGCCTCGACACTGAGTTTCATTAGTTTCCCAGTGAGCTGGTTTTTGGCAAGAATAAACAGGAGAGGGCGAGTTGTCGGAGCATGAGCAACAATATCGTGTTGCTGAAGAAAGAGCGTAGTGTAGAGTGTTTATTCCCGTCTAAAAGGGAGTTAATTTATCGATGTCTACACTTAACGAGATGTTAAATAGCTCAACACGATATATAACCTGAAATCTTCACGGGAAAAATGAATGAGTGTGCAAGAGGTATGTCCTGTACCTGTAATGTAATCTCATGATGAGCCTCGTTCTCTTTAAATCTGTTAATCTATAATGGAGCAACTGTTTCACAGTGGTGTCATAATGTCTTCATGGCAGGTGCCACACTGAACGCAAGTGGCAGTGAATAATTAAAGCCGAAACTGCAAACAAATGTTGTACCTGTCCAAAAGAACTAATAAATAAAAATGTCAAAGTTGTGATTATTTTCTGGTTTGTGTACGTGTCTTTCTCTGTTTGCAGTAAATAAAAGATTTGTGTATTTCTACATTTGTAGTTAATGAATAAGAACTAAAGGACGTTGCTGTGTCCTTTAGTTCTTAAATGTTATTTAAATGTTAAACACCGTCAGGAATTTACAGTAAATTCTGAGTCACCTTTTGAGATGATGTTGAAACCTGTTCCTCATTCTTTGTGCTTTTATTTTACAGATCAGCGCTGTCAGGGCGGTTGTCCCCAACAAAAGTAACAACGAGATTGTGCTGGTGTTGCAGCATTTTGAGAACTGTGTTGACAAGGCCGTTCAAGCTTTTTTAGAAGGTACGAAGACGTCGATGGGAACTTGCAGCGTAGTCACTGAACCATAAAACCTGGTAGTGTTGCATATTTTGGAGCAATTGTGCCTTGAAGACAGATTTAAGATGATACTATGTATGATAGTGTAACATGAAGCACCATATCTGCTTCCACAAATACTTTCTGTGTTACTGTATTTTAGTCAGGCCCTTTTGTTCTGGCATGCCGCCCACATTATCTGTGCAAAACGTGACCTTGAGAAAAAAAAATTTTTGTCACGCATTCAGCAGCCTGAGCGTCATTTGCATGCCTTTTACTTTGACGAGTTTAATTATAGCCTGAGAAGGTTGTCCCCGTACGTCACGCTGCTTTGTTTCCTGTGTAGGAGTGTCTAAACAACCTCAGGGCATTCAGATATTGAGATTTGTGTTTTAAAGTCTGTCAGTGGGTCAGCGTGTACCTTTTGTCGTCATTGTTTGCTTTGTACCTCAGGTAGTGCGGTTGAGATCCTGAAGGAGTGGAATGTCACTGGCAAAAAGAAGGTGAGAACATGCGTCTTGAATGTCTCTTTGTTGAGTGCGCATAGTAATGTCAGACCTAGTTTTTAAGACACTTGAAACTAATTGCTGTAGTTTTTAAAATTAGATGTGCAAAGTGCCTGTCATTCATCGTAAACCACGGATTAAAGCAGAGAAGTGACACGTTAAATCTTTATTCCAGCTTTAGCTCAAATCAAAACATTTCTGTCTGTGTGTGCACGGAATAGGTTAAAGATAATGAACAGAGAGATGTTTTTACACTCATTTCTCTCTGAATGTTCAGCCCAAGAAGAAAAAGAAGCCCAAGCCTCAGCCAGAGGCCTCAGCAGACCCTGCGCCACCTGCGACCACATCGCCTGAGGAGGGCAAGGATGAGATCAACGGCTTTCACGCCAACGGATCAGTAATGGATGGAGAGTCACTGGATTCTCTGAGCGAACAGTTGGACTCTGCCTCCCTGGATGCAGCCGAGCTGGACTCTGAACCCGCTACATCCGAAACCACCGGTAACGACAGATCTGCGAAGTGATAAAAGCAAAAGAAAGAGGGGCTGCAGGATTTTAAGTTGTTATTTTGCTGGAATGAGAATTACCTGCTCCAATCAGTGTAGATCATACGGATATATAAAAGTCTGCTCTGATCGCCGTTTAAAGAAAAACAATTCCAGGACTCGTACGGATATTGTTAGATCGGAGAGTTTAACCTTCCCTCTTTTCTTGAATTTTTACATCAGCACTGATTAGCTCGTCGGCTGCAGCAGTTCACTACTAGTCATCGTCACCAAGCGTCCGGTCAAGTTAATTTTATTTATATAGCCCAATATCATAAATAACAAATTTGCATCAAGAGGTTTTACAGTCTGTACAGTATACGACCTTTGGCCCCTACTTGTTCCCTTTGACCGCTTTCCATTTAAGTCATTTAATCTACATGTCAAACTTCTTCTTTTTTATTTGAGTACAGTGCTTTTCTGTTCTGTTTCTGTTGAGTAGTAACATTTCCTCATTGTTTTGGGGTCCCTAACATGATTACTGTTTCCAACATGAGGAAATTCTCGCTTTTATTCTTGGGTAACATCTTTATGGATGAAATGTGCATTATTTATAGTAAGGATAAACAAAGTGCCATTCATCAGGTCAATAAATGGAGAGTCCAAATGTATTTGTTTGTGTAAATTGAGATATTGTGCTGTAATCCTTTGCTATATACCATTTCTCTTTCTTAAAAGAAGTGTTTGCACAAATACTCTGGTGCTGACCGACTTGGGGAAAGTTAGTTTAGAAACCACTGACTCTACTCGCTGTAAAGTAATCTGTCTTCTCACAGGTGCAGAAGCAGAAAGTCAAGGTAGCGCTCCAAGTCCCGCCTTACAGCAAGGAGGAAGGAATCACCAGGGTCCCAGAGGAAACAAGAACCGACACAGGCCAGGCTCATATTCACATCCACCCACTTCCTCATTAACACCCACCCCTGATGAGCAAGGATCGTCAGGAGTCAAGAAGATAGGTTAGTCACCTGTACCTCTTATCTCCCAGATTATCTTAAAGTGTTACGAAGGCACGGGTGAAAACGTAATCTGCGTGGTAGTCATGTAACACCAAGTCATGTGCGCTGTCTGCCCCTTCAGCTTCCAACATCGACCGCTCTGTGAAGGACCTGCAGAGATGCACTGCCTCGCTGACTCGCTACAGGATGGTGGTCAAGGAGGAGATGGACTCCTCAATCAAGAGGATGAAGCAGACGTTTGCGGAGCTCCAGAGCTGGTGCATGACTTTTTTTCAAATCTGCCTCTGGTCATGGCTGTAGTTGATCTTAAAGATATAAAATATTGCAGCATGTTGAAAAGTGAGGTATAACAAAACCCTGTAGCTTTCCCAGGGGACCAAGAACCTTTTGAGGAACTCAGGGAGTGAATATAGTTCCTGGTGCAGTTCTTTCTAATGGAAAGTAAAATAGGTTTACAGGGCCAACAATCACTGATCAGCCAGACACCACACCCACTACAACTTGTACTCTGGTAACAATATCAGGTGGAGGGAAGGACAGGCATTTATTTTTGTTCATGACTTTAAAAGCAAAGTTTAGCTTTTGTTTTTGCGGCTCCTGACGAGTAAAAGAAAACCAGTGAGAGAAAGGGTGTGATGGGAGAACGAAGTGAGTTTTCTGTCTCCTCTCCACTGATGTGTTTCTCATTTTCAATCATTCGTTGCATTCAACTCAGACTTGAGTCGGGCGATATAGCGGACGCTGCCTGCCATCAGTCGTCGGTGTAATTTGCTTAATCTTCATGGTTCATCGGCTGCAGTGGAAACACAAACAAAATGGACTTTTAGTCTTCGAGTTTAGTCCCTCTGCATCCATAGTTCCTGGAACAAAATGCTCAAGAAGGGCTGTTTATGTTCCTTGATATTCATGTTGTGTGTTTATTGTAGCGGGTAAAGTGAGTGGCTATAGGTTTCAGTTCAGCAAGTCAAAGGGCATTGTGCTTACCTTTGTCCTACTCGATGACACTGGGGCAGAGCTTTGCATAATAGGAAACTGTTGAACCTGTTTGTGTGTGTGTGTGTGTGTGTGTGTGTGTGTGTTGAACTTCCAGTGGTGTGAGAGGGAAAATATAGACTATCTAGAAACTAGAGTGTAGTATTATAAAACAAAATCTGTTAGCAGTTTTATTAATTTTGGCTGTACATATTACCAATCCCTCTAACCTAGAACAGTACAAGTGGGTCACAAGGGTCCCTCCACCAGGGTCCAAAATTAAGAGCGACCGAGTGCCAAATGCTGGTAAATTCTGGGTTTGGCCGGAAAACAAGTTGTGGTCACCAGATGGCTGCAAAGTAATCTGGAATCACAGAGTAGTGGCTAAATGAGACTAAGAAGGTTGTCAGCGACATTAAACCTCAGCAGGCAGAACACTTAAAGCCGACTGTGAAGTCTTGTGACCACAGTGTAGTTTGTTTATAGCCTAACACTAACTTTCACTTCTGGTGATTGTATTTATGCCTCAAAAATCAAGTGGAGTTCATTTGTGAAGATTATCTTGCTGAACAAAATGTGTGTAATAAACGTTTGTTCCCCCACAGAGCTTATGTTCTGCAATAATCCACAATCGAATGGAAAAACCCCTTTTTGTCAAAAGAACCGGATTGGTTTACAAAAAGACGTCAGACCTGCAGCACTTAATTTCCGCAGAAAGAGCCTGCCATCAAAGCCTCCTGCATTACACTTACCGTCCCTCCTTGAAGGCAGTCATGCTGTTGACCTTGTTTGTACACATAAGACGTGAAGGAAGTAGTTGTGTAAAGAATGAAAAACAGAGCCTGAGGGAGACTCATGCATATTCACCTGTATACCTGGCCAGTTGCTGTGTAAAGGGGTGCGACTGTAAGATTGTCTCAAGGGAAAAATACTAACATTTTAAGGCAAACTCCCCAATTTCAGGCAACAGAGGGACACTGTGAGTCAGACAATCCAACCAGCAGTTTGTTTAAAGTATACTGAGCCTTTAAGCCTCCCACGTGGAGTTTCCTTGTAGCAGCGAGTTCGCTACCGTCCCTTAATTTAGATGTTAGATGTGAAAATATTCTGGCTCTACATGCTGTTTTTCCTCTCACTCATTCTTTGGCTCAGTGCCGCTGAGCGACTGTCGCTGTGCAGTGGCTCTCACTCATCCTTCACAGGCAGAACATTCAGTCAGCGACACAAAATCACCACAAAGAAACAAACAACCGCAGTGAACTTACCCTACTCACCCAACCTGAAAAGTTCTGTGTAAATTCACCGATTGTCACATTTAGGAGGATCTTTTGGCAGGAATGGAACATGATATTCATTGTTGTGTTTTTATTAGCGTATAATCACCTGAATGTAGGAATTGTTGTGTTTTTGTTGCCGTAGAATGAGACTTGGAGCCGTTTTTATTTTCTCCGACACACTTCACAGCTCGTTCTCATTCCCAGGTCGTCAAATACTGATGCGAGCAGGTTTCAGTTAGATGCAGTGTGCAACTTCACCTCTAGATGCCACTACTACTACCAACTGGTCCTCCTTTAATCCTTAAACGTTGTACCAAATGTTTTGTTTTTGCTCTTTTGCATTGTCATGCATCAATGTTATGTTATTAGATTTGCTTCGTAATCTCAGTCAGCATTCCTCTTATCTTTGAGTGAGTAGAAAAAAAATAACCTCCCCACCCTTTCTCTCTCTCTCTCTCTCTCTTTGTTTTTTCTAGTTTAATGGACAGAGAAGTGACTCTGCTGGGAGAAATGGACAAAGTGAAAGCTGATTCCAGTAAGTTTCTTAAAACATGTAGACTGAACCTCAACCTTCTTGTCACATACCACCCGGGAGCCCTTAGTGTTCTTCTCCATAATATGATCACCTGACTCACAGGCTTGAAGAATCTGACCTAAATCACGTCCGGAAAGGTGGCAGAAGGGATTCTTGTGGAACATCAAGTCCCAGTTTCTTCTAAACTGCAGTGGTGCCCTCGGGGTGCTCGTATACCTATAGCATACCACTGTGTGTATGTAACATGACAGAGCAAGACTGCATATTTGTACAAGTAGGCCATTCTCTCTTGTGTTGTCCTCTCAGTGCAGAGTGTTGTGTGTTCCAGGCCTGGGAAAAGTGAATAGTGTCAGGTGTCAAGGGAGACTCAATGCTGTCTTTGTGCAAGGTGTGCGGGGAATTGAGAGGAAAGCGAAGGAACTCTAGTTTTTCTTGGACATTACAAAAGCCAGGTTTCCTTAAAATGTACCTCCAACTGATCTACTTCCTGTGTTACACTGGTGTTAACTGATGGTTTCCATTATAACCTTTTGCTCTCATGCAGGAAAGACTGTAACTAAATAGATAAACGGCTCTAAATGTAGATTTACAAATAATCCAAAACTAAATGTTCTCTGTATTGTTTAGTGCAGACCCGGATAGAATGATCCTTATTGATCCTTACTGTAGGTAATCTGTTGATTATTTTCTCAATTAATCAATCATTTTGTCTTATTAAATTCCATAAAATGAAAGCTCAAAGTGACAAGTGTGTTATTTTGTCTGAGCCAAAGTCCAAAAACAAAAAAGATTCGGTTTCATATAACAATATATAATCATATAAAGACAACAGCTCATTAGAGAAACTGGAACCAGTGAATGTTTGGTATTT